CATCATCATCATCATCATCATCATCATCATCATCATCATCATCATCATCATCACCATCATCATCATCATCATCATCATCGAATGCATAATCATGGTACATAAAACAACTTACTCTTTGAGGCGGTGGTGGTTCTGGCTCAACTGTTCTGGTGCGAGCTGCTGGGATTGGTGGAGAGAGCGGCTGGGGGAAAAGGGTATAAAATCAAGAGTTGTGATACACGTCCATGCAATAATATGCAACAGAAAACACAAGTCAGATAACCAATGATAATAACGGTAACAGCTACTAAACCAACAAAACCGACATCACCACCAACAACAAGAAAATTATTAATAACAAAAATGCCTTTAAAAAATAAAATAGCAAGTGTTTTTATCCCCCCCCCCCTCGACATAATTTAGACCATTTAGGAGAAGAGCTTCGACCCTTCCTGTCAGGACCAACCCGCAATGAGAGTGATACAGTGTGCTAGTAGAAAGACAAAGACACTCCACCATTACACCCGGTCATAGGGAGAGAGGAAAAGCGTGTTCTTAGGGCGGACCGTGTTCTCAGGCGGATTTAATGGGAAACGACTCCTGCGCGTTGACTTCCCTTGTTTATTCTTTGGTTAAGAAATGATGGCCATTAAGTGATACTGACGTGTAAGGGAAGATTAAGAGGTTGGCTTTTTTAAAATGAAATCTGTGAGTCTATCGTAGTCGGGTACGTTGTTTTTACTGAAAGTGACAGCCAGAGGTTTCAATGCAAATTTGTACATGACAATATTGCTATATGAATTGATACCATATTGAAACTACGCGACAGTACCATTTACAGCTCTATGTGAGCGAAGGTAAAGAATCGCCATAAGAGGGCAAGCTTTCCTAATACGGTGTGCCCACTACGGACTCGATCGGCCGATCGGGCCCATCGCCCGACACGATCGCCTCAAAAACAAACGTGTTTGTTTTCAGTTTCAGGCGATCGAGTTGGGCGATCGAGTTGGGCGATCGACCCGATCCAGCTGTAGTTGACATCCCATATAAGACTGACGGACACTTTGACCAATATCAGAGAAGCAACCGATTGTACAAAGCTCGGTATGGTCTGTACCAATCAAAAACCACTAAGCGTTGACCAGCTCGATACGGCTCACGTGCATACCTAAGAAACGTTCAGTGTAAATTTAGAATCCCCTTAGCGTGTGGATTTCATCGACCACTAGGCCAAGCCAACCCCTCTTTTTGTGCAACATTTGGTAAAGCAGCTCAAAGAAGTATTTCACTGAGCTCAAACAGGGTGCCACGTTGGATTTATATTCTTTAAAAAGTTCTAAGGCACATATAGTATTATATAGAAAAATCCTGCCACACGGTTTAAAATGGGTTCTTGGGAGGACTGGGTTCTAACGTCGAGTGTTCGGAGGAGGAGGAGG